GAATTAGTTGTTAGTCGAGTGGTGTTCTGAGACCAGGTGACTATCCTGTTCCCCAAAACCTTCTGTGCAATGATTTTAACATTCATTAGGGATCATTTCCTGAATCAATACTACACTGTGGGTTGCAAAATGATTTTGTAATTTTATTATTTCTCCTACATTTATTATAAGTTGGCATTCGTCTGCAAAGATCTTTCTTTTATGTTCTCTCTTATCGTATCACTGTATACTAATGGAATTAAGAAATCCAGTTTGTTATTATCTATTACTGCCATTATTCTTTTTAATCTCAAATTACTCCAGTTTTGGCCAGTGGAAGTTCCCTTCAGGTCTGCTCTTTGGTCCCACGTATATGATTCCATTTTGTCTTTGAATGCTTTCTTGCTTTCTATTATTAAAGAGCCTTCCCAGGCTTAATTTTTAACTCATTTTGCCCAAGACCATGAATAAGCCTTTTCCTCAAAGAGCCTGCGACAGCTATCAGTTTACTGCTGCTCTTCTCAGAGTCCATTGCCTCTGTGCTAGTTTGTGATACTGGAGTTGGATCCTGTAAGCGTGTTTCCTTTGCCAGCTGGCACAATGGCAAGCTTTGTCAGCAGAGGGCACTGGAAGGACACTGCAGGGAACAGGCTGCTTGGGCTGGTGGGCATCCTCATCCTCTCTTTTTGCTCCTAAAGCACAGTTGCTGTGACGTGCTTGCAGAACATCCAGTACAGCTCACTCTCCAGCTGGTTTTGCTGGCATCCTGGCAGGCAGTTTCCTGCTCAGTCGTGAACCATCAAGTTTCCTGCTTGCCAGCCTCAGTTTACTGGCACTCTGGTGGGAAGTGCCCTGTTTGGCTACTTTCAGCCCACCAGCTATGGACCAGGTCTGGCCCAGGATAACACCGCAAACTGCTCTGTCATCCCCTGGGCTGCAGCTATCTCAGTTTGGGGGAGACGGCCTCTCTCTCTCCAAATCATTCCTTATTTGAGCACTCTCAATCCTATGGTATTGTTAAGGTTTTTTTTTAATCTCCTGTGCTTAACCCCCTGTTTCTAGTTAATAATTCTTTATGTTAAATTTTCCCTGTTTAAATTATTGGTGTGTTTCTTGTCTTCTCACTGAACCTTGACTGATACAGTACAGAGGATGGTCTTTAATGGTACCACCATTCAAAAATGCAATTTCAGGATTATCTTGGTCATACCTTTGGATTTGAGTACACTGCTGAGCCACTTGCCAATGGGATATGGGATGCTTAAGTTTGATGGCACACCACAACACAATCAATAAAGCTATCACCTATGGCTGATTGTAATGAAGTGCCAACAAAAGCAAGTACATTGGAAGCCCAGTGCACTTGACTAATGAAGACAACAGGATGGTGGTATCTTAGTCTGTTTGGGCTACTACAGACTGGGTGCCTTATAAACACCATTTCGTTCTAATCGTTCTGGAGGCTGGAAAGTCCAAGATCAAAGTGTCAGTAGATTTGGTGTCTAATGAGGACTTGCTTTTTGGTTCACTCTATTTGCTGGTACCACAGTGTTTTTACCAGAGAGGCTTTATAGTCTGATTGAATATTTGTTAGGGTTAATCCTCCCTTATTGCTTTTATTTTTCAGGATTTCCCTTCATATTGTTGTATGTTTATTTTTCCATATGAACTATAGAATTAGCTTGCATCGCTTCAGGGGGAAAAATTTACTTTTATTTTACTTAGAATCACATTGCATTTATATATTATTGAGGGAGAATTGACATCTTTATGATGTTGAATTTTCCTAAATGAGAACAAACAATGTCTTTCTATTTGTTTGAGGCCTCTTTTTTTGTCCTATAGGAGTGTTTCACAGTTTTCCAAAACAGATTTGGCACATTTCCTGTTAAGTATTTTATCTTTTATTTTGTTTGTTTCTATATTAAATGACATTATACCTTTTGAATAGTCACTGTTAGTACTTTTTCTGTATATGTTCTTAGCTAAATTTTATACCATGCTATATTTCAGAACTGGTTAGTTTTATTTTTCGTACTGATTCTCTGTTTTCTAGGTGTTGTGTTATATAATCTACATAAAGATATAAATTAATTATTTCTCAATTCTTATGCATCTAAATGTTTATTATTATTAGCTTATATCTCCAAACCTATGTTATATAGTGGTGGAGAGAGAGGACATACTTGCTTTGTCCTTGATCTTAGTGGGAATGCCTGTAATGTTTCTTCACTAGGTATGGTGCAGGTTTGGGGCTGAGATATAAAATATTTCATCATGTCACGGAAGTGTCCCTTGATTTTTATTTTATTTTTATGAAATTATGAATGAGTGTTGAAATTTGTCAAGGGCTGTGTTACACTTTATTATTTGTTCACGATTCTTTTTTCCCTTCCTCGTTCATGATTCACTGTGTGAGGACTGTACTTAACCTGCACATTGATATTGGGTTTGATCATATGACTTGCTCTGTCTTTTCCATTATCTTTTCCATTATTGTCTCAGATTCTTTTCCATTATAGGTTATTACAAGATATTGAATACAGTTCCCTGTACTATAGAGTAAGTCCTTGTTGTTTATCTGTTATATAGTGTGTATCTCCTAATCCCAAATTCCTAATTTAGCCATCCCCCCCTTTCCCCTTTGGTAACCATAAGTTTGTTTTCTACGTGTATGACTTGCTTTGAACAATGGGATTTGATCAAAAGTGACAGTGTGTCAGTTCTAAGCCCAAAGCATCATAAGTTTCTGCTCACCTGTCTTCTGTTCCTGCCTCTACCATCAGACAGACATGCCCTGGATAGTTGATCCTAGATAGAGAGACGTATGGAGCAGACCTGAATCCATCCTGTAGCCTGAAGTACAACCCCTGCAAACCCACAGACTGTTGAAGGAGAAAAAGAAAAATATTTGATGTCCTAAGCTACTTAGATATTGAGGGTGTTTGTTACTCATTATTTTCACAGGAATAGCTGACTGATACATATTCTTTTTTATCATCTATAAGTCTAATCATATGACATCTTTCTCCCTAGATCTAACTATATGGTGAATTATAGGAATGAATTTACCAATATTGAAGCATCATTGTTTGGGTATAAATCCCCCTTGATTATGATGCCTTCTTTAAACTTGATTTTAGATTCTGTTTATTTAGAATTTCTCCACTGCTACTTATGAGTGAGACTGATTTATACGTGTGTGTGTGTGTGTGTGTGTGTGTGTGTGTGTGTGTGTGTGTACGTTTGCAATCATTACCAGGTTTGAGTGTCAAAGTAATACTTTTTTCATAAAGATCATTTGAGAGTTTTCTTTCTCTGCTATAATTTAGATGGTATTAGGGTTATCTGGTCTTTGAAGTTTTGATAGAATTCCACTGTAAAGTCATTTGGATCTAGTTTTTATAGTTAGTTCTTTGATAACTTTTTCTCTTTCCACTATAGAAGTTTGTCTGTTTGTGTTTTCATGATTAGCAAAGTTAATTTTGGTAAATTGTATTTTCCTAGGAAATAATCTGATTCATCTAGGTTTTCCGTTTAACTTGTACTGAGTTGTGCAAAATATTATAAGTTGCTTCTGATTTGTAAAACTTCCTCATGTCCTTGGTGATCTCGTTGTTTTTATTTCTTATTTGTGCTTTCTACCCTTCTTCCTTTATTGGGTTAGCTAGTGGTTTATCTGTGGTGCTGATTTTTTTTTTAACAAAGAACCAGCATTTTGATTTATTAATTTCTACTATTTTTTCTGTTCCCTATTACTTTTAACTTTATTATTTCCTTCCCTGTGTTTTCTTTTGCTTTACTTTGTTGCTCTTTTCTAATTTTTAAGATGGCAACTCAATATCCTTATTTTCATTCTTTTATTGTTGCTGCAAGAATTTAAGGCTATGGATTTTCTGTGATCCCTGGTTTAACTGTACTCTATTGAGTTTATGTTTTCATTAGAACTATTTTTTAGAAATTCTGCAATTAAAAATTTTCCCCTTTTGTCCCAAGAGTTGTTTAATAGAGAATTTTTAGATTTCCAATGAGATTTCTAGCTTTAAGAAGAGCAGAGGAGTAAGGCATAGAAATAAGGCACTTGCTCCACTTCAGGCTTCCAGAACCTTTAGTTTTGAATGAAGTTGAAAATTTTGATTATTAGCTTTTAGGTTTTTTTCAGTACAAAGGGACTATTTGTTTATTATCTACAAGTGATCAGAACAGCTATGGGACTTACCAAGTTGTAAGCCAAGGGCAAGAAAGCATAAATTCACTGAGAAAATGAATGGAGAATGGTAAAAACCAATAAAATTGATTTGTGATTGCATCTAAGCTTTCATTAGCTTTTACATCAGCTTTGTGAAAATTAGAAAAAGTTTGCTCTCACTCAGTGGAAGTGGCCTACAGAGCCCTGCAGAGTTGGAGGAGTTCTGGCTGAATATCAACCTCCACTCTGGCTCCTTTAGCTCAACCAGGGGCTGTATGTTTGATCCAGAAGGTCTTAGATTGCTGTCTACTAAGTCCAGCACATTAATTAAAATGATTACAGGTATTAATTACTAGGCAACTGTAGGGAATCAAATAAGAAATGCAGTTGACACCACCAAACTCTCATTACATTCGAGATATAAGATTTATTCACACCAACAAAAATAATCACAACAAAATATAAACTAATTTAAAAAACAAAAGATCATAGTGACATGAAATTTTATATTCTCAAGTGTGTAAAAGTTTTTTTTTGCTTCTACATAAACTTCTTTTCATAAAAGGGTAGCAAACATTAAAATGCAATGATGGTTTGCATTTCTTATGTGGAAAGAACATAGGCTAAACCCTGAAGCTTTTAGTGTACAAGGGTGTTACCATCAAGTCACACACTAAACTAATGATCAAAACCATGATCTGTTTCCAGATCCACACACACATATATTCACCAACTAAGTAGAGAAATAAGCATTTCATATTCTGTCCCACTCTGCTATAATGTATTTTTTCTTTTTACTAAAAGCAAAGTAGGAAACTGTATTTTTCTCCTTTTAATTGACCTCAGAAGAGGCGCTATCCAATTCATGAGAAACGCGGAATTTCAGGTGTTTGTCTTCTTCACTCTTAAGGTCTGGGACTAGCTTGTCTTCGCGGCTATGGAATTCTTGGCTGACTTTGGAATTATCCTGACTCTCAATCACATCGGAATGCTCCTTGCTGTCATCCTCGGCTTTCAGCTTGAATTCTTTGGAATGCTCGTGGCTGTGGGTTTCCATACTGCGGTCATCCGGCTGACTCGTCTCCTGACTGTCCTTCCCATGGCTGTCCCAGTCAGAAGCCCTGTGGAGGCGCTGGGCAACCAGGATGGCCTTGGGTGCATCACCCACCTCCTCGCTCTCCACGTGTGATGTGACGTCCTCCTCTGTGGCATCTGGATACTGAATCATAGCACAAACAGGAGAATTCAACAAACAGCCAGAGATGGGAACACTGTAATTTTCTTCTGCTTTTTTAACTTTCAGGTCAATGTATTCTCTAAAAATGTCTAAATTTGGCTGAAGCAAAAAAATAATACTAGCATGTTACTATTTTTCAAACCAAGTCCTTTCATTACGTTATCTCCTTTAGCTTAATAGGTACATCAGTGTTGTACGAGAGGAAACCCATGAGGAAGGTCTCATTATCTGTTTTACATAAAAGGAAAATGAAGCGAAAGTTAAAAGTAAAGGGACTAGTACATGGCAGGGCTATGTGCTAAATCCAGATCCTTTTTTAATTTAAAAAAGCGAATAGAGGGCTTCCCCGGAGGCGCAGTGGTGAAGAGTCCGCCTGCCAGTGCAGGGGACATGGGTTCGAGCCCTGGGCAGGGAAGATCCCACATGCCGTGGAGCAACGAAGCCCGTGTGCCACAGCTAGTGAGCCTGCACCCTAGAGCCCGCGAGCCACAACTACTGAGCCCGTGCGCCACAACTACTGAAGCCCACGTGCCTACAGCCCGTGCTCTGCAACAATAGAAGCCACTGCAACGAGAAGCCTGCACACTGCAACGAAGAGTAGCCCCTGCTCGCCGCAACTAGAGAAAGCCTATGCGCAGCAACAAAGACCTGACACAGCCAAAAATAAATCAATTTAAAAAATAAATAAATAAAAAAAACAAATAGAATAAGTGCTTTATAACCAGGATTTGGAAAAATAGCATTGTGATTGAGAGACGAAATTAGGGAGAAATTATGTGGACTTTAATACAAAAACCAGTAAGTGGGAAAAGGTTTTGTATTCAGTGATCATAAAGTAATAATACTTGCTGAATGAATGAACAAATGAGCATGCAGACCCTTGTTCCCTAGAATTGGGCTCTACTCATAACCATCTCATGTGTCTTGTTCAAGGATTTACCTGGACTTCAGATCTGTGGAACATCTTTTTCGACCTCAGTCCATAAGCCACACTATCACCTCGGCCTTCGTATGTGTCTCCGGTCGGGACAGGTGGAGTGAAAACGGAGGTTGCTGGAACGTCAGTGGGAAAATCAGTGACCACTTCATCAGATTCATCAGAATGGTGAGACTCATCGGAATGGTCAGCGTCTTTGGAGTCATTTGCGTCAGTGTCCTGGCTGTCTCCATCCTCTTCGTCATCCACAGTGTCTGTGTGCTCAGGGCTTTCATTGGACTTACTCGGGAGGGTCTAAAAATCAAGATGGCCGGAAAAATTGGTGTAAGGGTTTTTATTTTCCTTGAGTCTTTATGGTGCCTTAGTCTTTTACTATATTTAGTTTCAGAATCTTTTTTTTTTAAGTCTTATTGAATTTGTTACAATATTGCTTCTGTTTTATGTTTTGGTGTTTTGGCCATGAGGCACATGGGACCCCAGCTCCCTGACCAGGGATTGAACCCGTACCCCCTGCCTTGGAAGGCGAAGTCTTAACCACCAGACTGCCAAGGATATCCCAGTTTCAGAATCTTTGTATTCACAACAAAGCACTCAATGGCTTTTAAGAGCTAAAGTGAGCATCTTCCAATTTCCCTTTTAACACAAGGATAAATGGAATCCTATTCTGAGGCATTTTTCTTGCTTTTTCATGAACATTATTTTCAAGCCAAATGTATGAGTTATAAATTTATATCAATAACATGTTTTTCCTTGTTCATTTTAGACACTATTTAATTTACCAAATTCAATAATGCAGGAAATACAGGTACATAATTGTGAGATTGTTTTTTTCTATAACAATTCTCAGGAGATCAGAGCATCCGTGTATTAATGCTCACCCCCCAAACCTAAAACTCCTCCCTATTAGCCTGGATAATCAAAAGGCGACTTTGTTATCCATGTGTATAAACTGCAGGTCAATTAACCAGTTAATGTCTATTACACTTCTGATTGCAAATATATTGGGTCATTTATCTAACTTTCCTTAATAGAAATTCTTAGCATCTTCAAATAGAATCTTAAGGAAAACAAATTTAAGTTATCCCTTTGCTTAGCAAATATATTAATAATTCCAATAAAAAGAATAGTTATTGGGCTTCCCTGGTGGCGCAGTGGTTGAGAGTCCGCCTGCCGATACAGGGAACACGGGTACGTGCCCCGGTCTGGGAAGATCCCACATGCCGCGGAGCGGCTGGGCCCATGAGCCATGGCCGCTGAGCTTGCGCATGCTTTGGTAGGCATTAATTATATGCTTACCAGATATTAGATGACAGCAACAAAATATCTTAAATAAATTGCAAGAGGCTTAGTATTTCAAACAGACATTAGTAAACACTTCCTGCCACACTAAACTTATTTGAAACCTGGTATTTCTGACATTTAGTAAACACTTGTGTTTTTTGTGAGCAAGTTTTAGACAGGAAAATTTTTTTTCTTTCTTTTTTTTTTATGGTTGGCTGAGCTCATGTTAGGAAGGGAGGGTGGGCCTCAAGATGGTGGGTCTCCAGGTTTTGAGGAGAAAGTTCCTAGTTCCTATTGTTCCCTTGGATGGTGGTGGCAGATTCACTCAGAGAAATGAGACAAATATGAATCGGGCTACCAGGAGCCCATCCCATAATATTTCTCCCATACCCGCACCTCCACTCCACTAAGTAAAGGCTCTACTTCCACCATCCCTGACCTAGAGCCCACCATACTGTTGGCCCAGTATAATCAGGTCTGCAGAAAGTTCAAGGCTTTGGGTAGGGGTGTGATGCGCCCCTGGAATTTCAGGCCAGTGGATAGACAGGGCATTTACTGGAGAATTTTAATGGAATTTTGCCAGAATTGAACCCAGGCAATGTCACCAGGAGAAAGAGTTGCTTCCTTAGTTCCTCCAAGACATGATGGACCTTGGATTCAAAGTGGAACCTCACCTCTTGCTTGTTATCAGTTTCCTCAGAGGACACAGTATTCTGAAGAAGGAAGGGTACAAATCAGTGTACATCATACTCTCTTAACTTTTTTATTCAAAAGTTAGCCTTTTCCATACAAAGCAGGTCTTATTTTTTAGCCTCATTGGTGGATGGCTTAAGCGGGAAGACAATATGACAGATCAATTGGTGTCCTAAGTTCACGTTTACCAACAGGCAGGAAAGATCCATTTAACAAGCCCCAATGGCCTGCTCGGTGGCTATTTTTTGTGGTGGTTCTTCTTTAATTGTGAGAATTTTAATATTTAGAGTTCATTAAAATTAAAAATACCTGTGGTTCTAGGAAAGTCTGCTTCTGAGATGGGTCAGGCTTTAGCCATGTGGCTATAGCATCTGGGTATTTGTTGTAAAGCTACAAAAAAGAGTTGCATATTTGTCATTATTAAGAGAAAGAAACAGGGATCTCTAAGTGATAAGCTGAAAAAACAACTATACTTCCCCGATCTTGATGGATAAGCATAATATGCATTATTCAGTCAACTAGAGCCTGAGCTATGTCTTTCATAATTTATTCTTTCTGGTAGAGTCATTTAACAAACCCTTACATAGCACTTATTGTGAGGCAGGCACACTTTCAAAGTACTTTACAAATACTAATTCATTTAATCCTGGGATAGGTATCAGTATTATTACTCCCATTTTACAGATCAGGAGAAACTCAGCCACAATGAAGTTAAATGATAGTAAGTGGCAGAGCCAGGGTTCAAATCCAGTGGCTCTTCACACTGATGATATACTGTGCTTTTCCGTTCTATGTTCGTTAGCTGAAATTCCTCTCAGATGAAATACAGCTAAAGCAGAGGTGCCCTTAATTTGTGTTGATCTTCCTTGTTTCCTGTCTCTGTGGAACAAGGGGAAACTCTCTAAGGCTGTGCTGTCCAGTATGCCATTCTCTAGCCATGAAACGCGTGGCTATTCAAATTTAAGTTAATTGAAAAAAATTCAGTTCCTCGGTTGCACTAGCTACCTTTCGAGTGTTCAGTAGTCACATGTGTCTAGTGGCTACCTTAGTGGGCAGTGCAGAAATATAATATCAACACCACTGCATAAAAGTTCTATTGCTTTAAGCTGCCAAAGACATGAATGGAATGGCCTCTCACTTAGCCAGGTCATTCATCTGGAAAATGATAATAATATGCTAATGCGGAGGAGTGGAACTTGCTCTGAGTAAGTGTCATCTGGTGGGCTGTACGGCCCGGGGCGATCACTTCACATCTCTGTCGAGGGGAAAAGTTACCCTGGGGGTTCCAGGAACCCCTTCAGAGCCGCGCGGGAGGGAAGCCAGTCGGCGCCACTTTGGGTTTCCCCGTGGTTGGCTCGAGCCAGAGGGGCTTCAAACTGGGCTTCTATGACAGTTTTTGCTGAACGAATGGGTTCCTTGACTAAAAAATGTGAAAACTACTAGTCGAGATGAGTTCAAAGTTTCCCTTTTGTTTTCTTTAAAATATATATATTTATGTAAATATTATACAGATAAATGTTATGATTGATTACATTTAGTATACATATTTATTCTGATGATACCTGTAATACAGGCTCTATCTGTATTTATAAGGTAAATTTATAATTTTTGAAAATTAATATGAAGAACAAATAGATAAGAAAAACAAACTAAAATCTACCCAGTAGTCATATCACTCATAGATAACCGGTGTTCATCTTCAGGGGTGTCTCTTTATAGGCTTGCCATATTTCCTGCTAGCTCTAGATTTCTGGGATTCTAGAAGGTTGAGCTCTTCACTTATCTCCTAAATAACATTTAACCACTTATACTGCCGTGGCTTCCTGTGCCATATTTTATTCTATTAAAAAGGCGCTAATTCTTGCCTCAAAAAGTGTGATCACTGTTTTCTCTGGAAATGTTAATTTTCTGGCTTATTGTTGTGATTCAATACTTGCGTTCTTAAATCACTTGGAAAACAGACACACTTACTTATACCCACTTGCACACCCGAACACAAGCAGCAGTACTTCTCCTAACATCTCCATTAAGCAAATCTAACTGCAGTGACCCCAGGCAGCTCTATATTGGCCTTTATTCTGTTTATCTGGAATTGAACTCTGTGTGCCTTTTTGTCCAAGCTCCTTGGGACAATGCCCGTTTGTTGTTTGGCTGGCATGCTTTCACCCTGTGGAGGGGCAGGTACATCTACGGTGCTGGTTGAATAATTATAATAAAGAATTTGATTTGGTCTTATGTTTGTCTAGAAAAATGTGATCTAAAGTCATCTGATAAGCACAATAGATACAAACGGCATAAACAGACTTTCTTTTTATAATGGGCTCCTTAGCAAATATCTTAGGAGATATTGTGAATATTACGGTTATGCCAACTCTCCAATATGTGAGGTGAATTTTAAACTTAGCTTGCCACTAAGTAAAGCAAAAGATGGAATTTTTTACTTCTAGTACAGTATGTTGACTCATGGAAACAAAAAGTCACACAACTTCATAGAACTCATTTTACATAAATGATAGGCCTAGAGCATCATTTTATTATGTTAAAAAATCTAGTTTGGTTTTAAGAGACTATATTAATTAAAACCAGTTCTGTGCTTGGTACTGGCCTAGAACCATAGCAGGCACTCAATAAATACTTATAAGTTATTTTGTTTGACTATGAAAATAAGTAAAATTGCCATACGTTTGTAGCACATCTTGCAGCAGTTGCAAAAATAATTTAACTATGTGATAAACCTAAAAGATGCTCACCTGCTTTTCCTCAGAGCTGCCAGAATCAGTCTGTTTAACCTTTGAAACAGAGAAGGTGAAGAAAGATTACAGTGTGAACGTGTTCCTAGCACCTTGAAACACACAATTCATTTATTTTGAGGAATTTTCTTTAAGATTCAGCTGTACTCACTGGAAGAGCAGAGACGATGCCCAAGAGGCAGAAGCAAATGACTGCAGTTCTCATCGTAATGAATGTTCCTGCAAAATATTTTGTAAGAAATATTTGATCTTTTCCTAGGTTAAAACAGTGATGCTTTTTTAGGCTGCCACATTACAAAATCGTCACAAATAAATATATATTTTCTGTAGAAATACTCTCTACTTCTTAGAGGAAAATTTTCTTCTTAATATTATAATCTTTTATAAGTTAGTATTTGTTATGCCACCTCCTCTATTCTCCATCTCTTCCTATTAGGCAAGGAGAGAGGAATTTTACAAGTCTATATTTATTCAACTTTAAAATTCAGAGTTTCAGAGATTATGCCGTTGCTACCTCATGTCACCAGCCATCTAAACCTAAAAACAGATCAACAGTAATTGAGTTCAAATAATAAGCTGGAATGGGCATTTTTTTTCATTTTAAATATATTTTATTTTAAATATTTTAAAAATATTTATTTTTCAGAGAAGAAAAACTCAAAGAGAAAGAGAGAAAATAAAGGTGTGAAATAAACTTGCTTTCTCCGTTTTCCAGCATGCATTTCAAATGTGATTTTCAACTTAAATTATTTAAAAGGTGTTACTTAGGTGAAATGAAGCTATCTCTAAAGTTAGTAATTTAAGTAAGGTATTCTAGAAATTGGAAACAAAAAAGAAAAACACTGAAAACAGTCAACAGCTTTCCTATTTGTAAGTCTAAATAGTGTCATACAGGTATTTTGGATAAATTTTAATAGCTAAATACAGAGGTGAAAATATTCAGAAAGGTTTTTTTCCTTGAAAACAGGATAAGTCAAATCATTAAATAATTAGCATTATCATTTGTTTACATTAGCACTAAAAATCATTTTCCTTTTAAATATCTCCACAATCATCTATCCATTTAAAATGATGTAGATATAATCATTCCAAAGGGGCATAGACATTTCCTTTTTTTTCTGATGGCAAGAAGCTGTTTCAGTTCTTTTGAGGATGGCGTGGAAATATTTTTAAGTTTTCTATTCGACTGTCTTTCAAAATAGCCGGCTGCCTTTCCTGCAGGAGATCTGCCCTGGATCTGGCATGCTTATTCCAAAGACTAGGACCGTTTAGGTCTGATTAACACCTTTTACTGTTAAACTCTTTTGCTTACAGCTTGACCTTCCCCATGAAATGAAACAGTGCATACATAGGACAGCAAGCAAGTAGCAAACTGCAGCCTTACCTTGGTCTGCGGTGGCTAAGAAGAGCCCGGTCCCAGGCGGTGCTGATGCTGTGCTCAGGGCTGCACTCTGGCCTCTTCCTCTCCCTGCTGTTGACAACCAGGACGTCTCAGAATTTAAAGGCTGCTTCAGACGTTCTCCACCAACACAGGGGGTGGAGAGATGTGTCATGAGGTTTTTTTGCCACTGCCCAACCCACTTGCTCCTACACTTCCCCCTCTGGTTTTGTGGTTACAAAACAAACACATGCACACACACACACACACACACACACACAAACTACTCTGCAGTTAAAACATTACTTAGGCACAATATCATTAACTAGCTTTTTCGTTTATAGGATTGGCTCTCAGCGTCCTGGAAGGACATGGAGGGGGTCCCATAAAAAGGGAGGGAGGGAAATGACTAGTTCTTACAAAGACTCTAGAATTTCTGAATTAGAATAAAAATATAATCTCAATCAGTCTTAAATAAAATTAAATACAATGGATTTTTGTTTCTTTTGGTTTAAATAACAGATGAAGGTAATGTATGCAACCAAATTTGCCTCACAATTATACTTATTTAAGAGCTATCAGGCTATTGTTCAGATACATACAAAGAATTCAGAAACCCTTCCTCCATTTTTACTTAAGCTCTGTTGTGTGGTTTCAAGTGTGTAGCAGCCTGTCATTTAAACAAATGGCATTAGTAACATTAAAATCCACGTTCACGCTCATTAAATTGGATTTACACTGACCTTTCAAGGACGTAGATTTTTGTCGCCCTGTTTGAATTGTTTGGAAGTGATGGATCTGCTAATTGCTGTATAAAATAGAAGAAAGGTAATTTATTCTCAGTGCGGCAGAAGTAAAGCAGTTTCTGACTGAGAGCAGGGTTACTGCTGGCAAGTGCTGCTTCAGGAGCCAGAGTGTGGCTCTGAGTTCCACTCTGCCACTGATTAGCTGTGAGACCTTGGGCAAATCACTTAGCCTATCTATACCTGTTTTCATCTGTCAAATGCACAGTTCGTGGGCGTTTTGAGAGGTTTAAGTGAATTAGTATGTGTAAAACTAAAAATACTTGGCACGTGTATGCAAATACCCTGCCTATTTTAACCAGTGTATGTGTGTTAACTATTATTAAGATTTTTAGGAGGAGCAGGTAGTCATGATTTGTAATACCTTTAAATGGAATAGGTTATTGGAATGAGATCAGATGTAAGAATTTTTTTTTTTTTTTTTTTTTTTTTTTTTTTTTTTTTTTGT